TGAACAATAACAGCTAAAGCCTCAAAATGATCATCTATGCCCATGGTGAGTTGCCTTTGCAACAGATCATTGAATAGATTTCTCCATGCATGATAAAGAAGAGGCAGCCAAAACATGGCTACTACATCTAAATTGTGATCAAGGCCTAAAAAATATATAGGCACAATGCTCAACAATTTATTTCCTTTGCTTCTTAATATATATTGGACATTTCATATCATTGGACCTACCATAGATCCATAAATATCGAGTTGAACTCACCGTAGTATTTTTCCATCCTTCGACTGTCTTGATGTAATTTAAGGGACATCATCAATTCATAGACTTAACAATAGTTGGAGATGTCAAAATAGCTTCTCCTGATGCATCCCAAACATTCTTGGTCATTCCACACCGCACAAAGTATGCCATCAGTTTGTTAGTCATGGAATTGATAAGTCACAATCTTATAAAAGCTTCTTCAGCCTCCCATTCATCATAGTTTAGATCATTCTCAGCATGTGTAACTTTTCTCCTTATAATGTAGCCTTACTTTTTCTACCAGTAATATGAATCACCAAATTCTGAGAACAAACACCATAATTACAGCCATCCAATTTAATAATAGATAGGAGCAAAAGTCTCATGAATGGACACAATGGAGCTTATGCTCTCGGGAATTTCCCTGTTAGTTTTTGTGAACATGGTGGCCACAGCTGAAGGTGATGGCTAGGAAAAAGGAGTTGCCGTTTCAGGAAAAAAAACGGTTGCAGCAACAGAAATTCTATTATTGTGGCTCTTACACGAAATTAGAATTAATGGTTGAATTGCTTTATCTGTATATCTCAAGTGGGTTTCATACATGATACAAAAAACTACTCTAGGTAAGTAAATTAATCTAACAACTAACAGTCTAATACCTTGATTTTAATACATTAATTCCTATGCAAATAAGAAATTTTGAACAAGGAAACAAAACAAATACAATAATTGTTGCAACTAACTATACAAATTAATTCAGACAACTGTGCACAATAATTCTTGTAGCCTTCTATGTAAACTATGAATATCTAATTAAGAGCTTTCTCAAGTTTTTTATGAACAAGTAGATGTACACAACAAATTAAAAAAAAAAAAAACTTATTCCTGCAAGAAATGAGTCCAATAAAAGTCTTTTAAAAATGCTATTATTTCTATGAATTAAGAAAGAGATCCTTTTTTACAAGATATAAAAGAAAATCTCATGATAAAAATGGCTCATTAGAAAAGTTACTAGTTTGAACAAGAAAACGAAATATTTCCTTTTCACTTCACCTAGTACTTCTACTCTGTGCAATCATTATGATTTTCATAACAATATTAGAACTTTAGAATATGAGAATGCAATTATTTTAAATGATTAATTGTTAAATAGTCTATTTTCTTGCAATTATGATTTGAATGCTTTAGGTTCTAAGATTTAGAAATTCAGAATACCAGTTTGCAATGCAAACATAAAGATTTATCGATTGTTTCTATTAGTACTACTTATGGCACATTTATTTCTTGTATACAAACATCTCAATTGCAATCACAAGTGCATATAAATTCTCAAGTTATAAATAAAAATAGAATTCTGAAATCTCTTATGCATACTGTATACAATATGCAATGTTAGCATTATCTGACAACATTTTATGTTGAAGCAGATTAAAATAATCAGAAATAAAAGCTAAAGTACATAAAATATGATTTAACCTTCATTAGAGCAAAAATCAAATATGAATGATAATATGCAAGTGTAGTCTGTATTCTATAGCACGCAGAACATTAGAATTACTGTCATTTTAATAATATGATAACACGTATACCATTTACAGTAATTCAGATATTCTCGAGATTAGAAGAATACAGATACTAAAGGGAGAAAACAAATGGCTGATATAAAGTAACACCGACCTTAAAAAATATCTCTTATAGGCATGCATAGGTAGAGAAGATTGATAACTAACATTCTGAGGTAAGAAACTGACAAATATTCCAATGCTTTTCAGCTTCCGTATCATTATATAAATATTAAAGGAGCTACCTTTAAGAAGTTTCCATGCCATTCTTTGTGAACAATAATGCACAGCAAGTCTCTCCAGCACCCGTCTAATTGTTACAGCTGAAGTCTGTAACACACGAATAACATAACACAATTAAGCTATCTCAACAAACAAATATAAAACAATGAAAAGAATAGCAAATAAAATATGCAAAACAAAAAATGGGTTGATTAAAAATAAACATTAAATAAAAAAAACAAGAAATGCAAGGATTAAACCCTTAATTTTATCAATTAGGAGTGCAGACAGCCCAATATAGAAATAAAGGTGAAAGAAGTATTAATAAAAGATCAGCAAGTTGAACATCAAAAGCGGGTAGCGGGTAGCTGGTAGCTGAAAAATATGAGTCTTCTTCTTTCTTTGACAAACCTGAAAAATATATGCGTATACACTATTTGAAAGCATAAATATTGTGTATTAAGATCAGCAAATTAACACTTATGATTTTATGACTATTCACTTTATTTGTTTTATTTTGATTTTTTTTTCAATTTCAGTTATTTGAAAATATGCATGTGATGATGTTGCCGATGAGAACATGAGGTGTTCTTTATTATTATGACGTCTCTGGTTTGGGCTTTTCACAGGTCTGGGTTGACTTCATAGACAGTTAAACGTAATTGATTGGAACGGACCAGTTGTTCTGTTGTATGTTTATATGGATAAATGGAAATTGGACTTATAAGTTGTTGGATTGTTAGCTCCCTATCTTATAGCAAATTTTGGTCTTCAGGTAATATAGCATGGTGCTCAACAATGCTTACCTATTTGAGTATTTTGTTTCCTCTTCATGCCTAAGTTCATGTTGGATGTGAATTTTTTCGTGTGGCGCAAGCGATGATTATCCAGGGGAAGCAAACTCCATGTACCATTCTGATACTTTCTTTCTTATTTTCTGTTATTTTTATATTCTATATTTTAGTTATTGGTTTGCCTACCTTGCTGGATTTGATCAACACTCATACAATCTTTGTTTTTTATTGTGGTGATTTTAGATTAACATGTAGTTTTCATTGATCTTGAATTTATATGCTAAATTTATATTTTTAAAATCATTAAATTATCATTTATGCCAATTTTGTGTGCTATTTTTATTAAAAAAGATAAAAATATTTATTTTAATTGACGGTCGATGAACAATAATTTCTATTTTTTGTGCATTGTATCATATAGTTCCATTAGGAAAGCCAAGACCCTAAAACTTCCTAAATTAATTTGATGAATAGCTGACATGGCCCAACTTTTGTTTCGAACTTTAAATCTAATATTCAAAAAGGAATACTGAGTATGATAACCTTGGAGTATCCCTGTATTCAATACATTCAATATATCTAATTAGAGATTTTCATAAGCCAAGGTAGCTCTAGATCAACTCATTTAATGACCCATGAGCCAAGCTTGAGTTAACAAGTCACACTTGTTATTAACCGTGTTGAAGACAAAGCTGCATATGGCTCAGCTCGTTGTCTTGATGAGCTGGTTCATCAGAGCACATGTGTCAAGCTTTTGCTTAGTTCTAGTTTGCAAAATTATAGAAAGAATTATACATTGGTCCCAAACTAGGTTCTTCCAAAATTACATAAAAGCTGTTTACAATGAACCACCTTAAAGCAGTTTTCAGCAGGCACATCAAACCTTCAACACAAAGCTATATTTGAAGTTCCAAAGTCAATCAATAAGGTTAGTTTGGTCATTCTCAAAGTCCCACTCCAACTTCGACGAGGATGCTAAGAAGGTCTACTAATGTTAGACCGGTCCAGAGAGGACCGGTCCAGCCGGTCCAGAGAGGACCGGCTATAAAAGTTTACGGGAGAAGAAAACAGGCGGAGGGAGCCAGGGAGCCGGCGGACACAGCAGGGAAGAAATAGGTGGGGTCCACTTGTTTTTCAAATTGAATCTTGGAGCCAAAAGGAGTGGAAGCAAGGGCAATTAAGTCCTTTTATGTTATTTTTGAATTGTATGCATTAAATAGGGAGAGAAAGGATAGATTAGGGTTATGTTGAATTTGCTTGTAGTTCTTTCTTGTTCTTCGTTGGTGGCTAGGCTCTAGATCGAATTCTAGAGATTGGGAGAGTGCGATCCTCCTCTCGAATAGAGGATCCTTGTATCTTTGCTATTTTCCTTGCATCTATTAGTAAAATACAAGTCCTTTCTCCACATTTTCTGCAGTTTTTCTCTGTTTTTCTTCAGATTTGGGCTGTTTTCCTGCTGTGGACAGCGGTTGGATTTGTGATTTGTTGCCAGAGTGATTAGGAAATACTTGAAATCAAGTATTTCCTATCAGATTAATTATTAAAAAGTCTATTTTTTTGCAATTATGATTTGAATGCTTTAGGTTCTAAGATTTAGAAATTCAGAATACCAGTTTGCAATGCAAACTTAAAGATTTATCGATTGTTTCTACTAGTACTACTTATGGCACATTTATTTCTTGTATACAAACATCTCATTGGAACCACAAGTGCATATAAATTCTCAAGTTATAAACAAAAATAGAATTGTGAAATCTCTTATGCATACTGTATACAATATGCAATGTATTCAATTTTAGCATTATCTGACAACATTTGATGTTGAAGCAGATTAAGATAATCAGCAATAAAAGCTACAGTACATTAAAAATATGCTTTAACCTTCATTAGAACAGAAATCAAATATGAATGATACTACTACACGCAGTAGAATTACTGTCATTTTAATAATATGGTAACTAGTATACCATTTACAGTACTTCAGATACTCTCAAGATTAGAAAAATACAGATACTAAAGGGAGAACAAATGGCTGATAAAGTAACACCGACCTAAAAAAAGATCTCTTATAGGCATGCATAAGGTAGAGAAGATGGATAACTAACATTCTGAGGTAAGAAACTGACAAATATTCCAATGCTTTTCAGCTCCCGTATCATAATATAAATATTAAAGGAGTTACCTTTAAGAAGTTTCCATGCCATTCTTTGTGAACAATAATGCACAGCAAGTCTCTCCAGCACCCGTCTAATTGTTACAGCTGAAGTCTGTAACACACGGATGACATAACACAATTAAGCTATCTCAACAAACAAGTATAAAACCATGAAAAGAATAGTAAATAAAATATGCAAAATAAAAAAAATGGGTTGATTAAAAAATAAACATTTAATAAAAAAACATGAAATGCAAGGATTAAAACCTAAATTTGATCAATTAGGAGTGCAGAGAACCCAATATATAAATAAAGGTGAAAAAAGAATTAATAAAAGATCAGCAAGTTGAGCATCAAAAGCAGGTAGCTGGTAGCTGGAAAACATGAGTCTTCTTTCTTTGACAAACCTAACAAAGACTATGATGTGATGGAGATATGTGCGTATACACTATTTGAAAGCATAAACAATGTGTATTAAGATCAGCAAATTAACACTTATGATTTTAGGACTATTCACTTTATTTGTTTTAATTTTTTTTTCAATTTCAATATGCATGTGATGATGTTGCCTATGAGAACATGAGGTGTTCTTTATTATTATGACTTCTCTGGTTTGGGCTTGTCACATGTCTGGTTTGACTTCATTGTCAGTTCAACGAAATTGATTGGAACGGACCAGTTGTTCTGTTGTATGTTTCTATGGATAAATAGAAATTGGACTTATATGTTGTTGGATTGTTAGCTCCCTATCTTATAGCAAATTTTGGTCTTCAGATACTATAGCATGGTGTTCAACAATGCTTGCCTATTTAAGTATTTTGTTTCCTCTTCACGCCTAAGTTCATGTTGGATGTGAATTTTTTGGTGTGGCGCAAGCGATGATTATCAAGGGGAAGCAAACTCCATGTACCAGGCTGATAGTTTCTTTCCTATTTTCTGTTATTTTTATATTCTGTATTTTAGTTATTGGTTTGCCTACCTTACTGGATTTGGTCAACACTCATACAATCTTTGTTTTTTATTGAGGTGATTTTCGATTAACATGTAGTTTTCACTGCTCTTGAATGTATATACTAAATTTATATTTTAAAAATCATTAAATTACCATTTATGCCAATTTTGTGTGATATTCTTATTTAAAAAGAAAAAATATTTATTTTAATTGATGGTCTATGAACAATAATTTCTTCTTCTTTTTTTTTTTTTTTTTTTTTTTTTTTTTTTTTTTTTTTTGGTCTGTGTTTTTTGTGCATTGTATCATATAGTTTCATTAGGAAAGCCAAGACCCTAAAACTTCCTAAATTAATTTGATATACAGCTGACATGGCCCAACTTTTGTTTCTAACTTTAAATCTAATATTCAAAAAGGAATAATGAGTATGACAACCTTGGAGCATCCCTGTATTCAATACATTCGATATATTCCCTGTATTCAATACATTCGATATATTCCCCGTTTTCAATGCATTCGATATATCTAATAATCTAATTAGAAGTGTTCATGAGCCAAGGTAGCTCTAGATCAACTCATTTAATGACACATGAACCAAGCTTGAGTTAACAAGCAACGCTTGTTATTAACCGTGCCGAAGACGAAGCTGCATATGGCTCAGCTCGTTGTCATGATGAGCTGGTTTATCAGAGCACACGTGTCAAGCTTTTGCTTGGTTCTAGTTTGCAAAATTATAGAAAGAATTATACATTGGTCCCAAACTAGGTTCTTCCAAAATTACATAAAAGCTGTTTACAATGAACCACCTTAAAGCAATTTTCAGCAGGCAAATCAAACCTTGAACACAATGCTTATATTTAAAGTTCCAATGTCAATCAATAAGGTTAGTTTGGTCACTCTCAAAGTCCCACTCCAACTTCGACGGGGATGCTAAGAAGGTCTACTAGTGCTGATAAACAGAATAGGCTACTAGTGACAACAAGAAGGAAGGCCAACAGATTTACATGCCAAGAAACGTGTGTTGTAACTCCTTTCATCGTGGTTTCCATATATGCAATTAAGCACTGCTTATCCTTTGCTGTTGGCATCTTTATCGCTCTTGAAAGGTGACTAGTATTTATTTTAGAATGAACTTGTCCCTTCTTTCTTCAAAAAATAACCTTTCCATGGTGCATGACAAGAAAAATATGGTTTCAATAACTTTCATTCATCTAACAAAGAAAATAAGTCTTCTCTGTGGCTTTGACAATTAAAAACAAAATTACCAATGGCATACAAAAAGACACAATAATAGAAATCTGTATGAGTGAAAAGAGATGAAAATAAAAAAGGCGCTCACCTCACGAACTATTTGTTTGAGTGAATTGTGGAATGGGGTCAATAAATCAACATGGCTTTCTTTGGGCTCATCTTGTAGGAGATCATCACCATCTTCTACTGGTGGGTGAACTTCAATAAGGGGCAAATAGAACTGCAAGAAGGACCTTAGGGATGTGAGAGCCAGAGATCTAAGTTGAAAAGCTGAGAATAGAGGCCTAAGCTCTATTGGGTACTCTTTACACTTAAATGTAATAGACTTCTCATTTTCAGTTGCACTACTAAGATTGGGGATGTAATTTTCATTCCATGCAATAGTGGCACCAGCATCACAATAGGCAACAGAAATTCCTCCATCACTGCAATTAGGTATGCAAAACCATTAGAAGAAAGGCTAGAAAATTACAAGTTCCTGATGCAACATAAGCTGAAAAATTAACATCATAAAACTTTGAACTGGAAGACCCATCTTAAAACCATGATATAGTACATCTCACCAAAAAAGGAAAATATTAAAAATCATTAAGCTTAGCTGAGATTCAATGGAATATTTATACTTTACACAAGCAAATTAAATAATGTGCATGATCATCATTTGAATAAAGTTAAGTTGATTGATCACAGATCTGACCTTCTATGAGAAGGATGTTATGCAAATTCCCAAAAGATATCACTTGTGTCAAATACACACGGACTTTATTAGACAAGACCCAGAACCTCTATATGAGCCAACAACACAGATTACATCCCCAAAATCATGATTAGACTGTAAATAAATGAAGATCACAAGCATCTCAAATATTTTTATTAGGAGGATTATTATTCTATGTATCATTTTCAGAATGAACATACCATAGAAGCTTCTCAAAAAAGCTCTGCTGCTTCGGTGACAAATAAAATTGCTATTCATTTCAAAACTACAACTTTTGTCAGACAAAGGATGGTTGCTTATATTCAGCTAGCTTTGGCACATGCCACAACATCACATGATTTATAAATACTGTGCATAATGCTACTTTTGCCTGTCTGCAAAAAGTAGCATTTTCTTCTTCAATTTGATGATAAATATTATTTATTGACAACCGAACAATTTGAACTCTAAGACGGATAAATCTAATCCTTGTTAACAGTTCATAGTTACAACTGAAGTCTCTAACAAAGCAACAGCCACATCCTCATTCCTAGGGGTTTTCTCCCATATCATAGGGTGAGCAAGTGCTTCATAGCAACAATCTCAATTAACAAAATATTAGCTTCTATACCTATGTTTTAATGGATAAATAGAGAGAGAGTGTGAGAATTCATTTTCAAAGTGATGCATGCAAAGGGGGGGTCAAAACAATATGAGAATTTGTTTTGACCCTTGGGCTGCTGATGCTCTCGGTTTGGGCCTTGTTTGCTTTGATTTGAAGCTAATTTTTGGGATCTACTTGGTTCTAGCTCATAAATGCTTAAGTTGTGACTTTAGCTCATTAATTCAAAAAGGTTTCTCTACTAATTTCAGCTCATTATGTGCGGAAAAGTTTGGCTTTTCCCCTTCCCCATGCTGCCCACTCGTTTTCCTCCTTGCTCCCTCGATTTCTCTTGGGCTTTTGTTGTTCCCGTGCCTTGGCCCTTTGTTTCCTGTGCTGGCTGGTTTTCCTGTGCATTGGCCCTTTTTTCCTGTGCTGGCTGGTTTTCCCGTGGCTGCCTACTTGGTTCCCGTGGCCTTCTTTTCTCTGTTTCCTGTACCGGTTTGGGGCTGCTATTTGGTGGCAGTTGGCGTTTCATTTCCCTAAATCTAATAGGTTTAATTAATGCTTTAGGGGCTGTTTAGTTGTCTTCTTTTGTTTATAAAATGGAGATGTTTTGGCATGGAATAGGGAGGTGAAAATAAGATTTTTGGGACAAAAACCTGAGGGGTTTTTCTTCTTTGTTGGAAAAAGCTTGCGAACTTGTTCCATCCCTTCTCCTTCTTCTAGGATAACTTGTGAGTTATGCCTTCTTCATCTTGGCTTCTAATCCCCTTCTTCTCTACGCAAGAATCCACCCCACATGTATCCTTCTTCTCAAATGATGGAATTACAACTTTAGGAGTTTATGTTTTGAAAGTTTGTTTGAGTCATTTGTAAGCGTCAAAGGTTTGTAAGTCTTTTATATTAAAGTGAATTTGTTTTTAGTTCAATTGTCGCATTTTGTGTTCTTTGGTGTAGTTTCTATTATCTAGGAAGAGTAACATCTGCTCGCAAAAATTTGGGCCCTCTCCCAAATTTTTGTTTGCATCACAAAGGTAATCAAAAGACAAGGGGATCCATGTCAATTTAGAGTGTATTACAATTTATTGGCTTTTAATCTTCAAGAAAGAGAGAAAAAAACAATTTAAGTTCATACAATATATATGCATCTCTCTATATAGTACATTTTATAGATATTAATGTACAAAAAGAGTGCCTATCATTTCCAAGGGATCTTCATTTCAAAATTGTATAGATATTAGTCTTTTAAAGGGAAGCGACGAAGTTGTTTATCTACATTCTACACAGCTAAAGTCCTGATCGAATCCATCTAAATGGCATCTATATACTGATAATCTGATATACTATGTAGTAAAAGATGATGTTTCTCTTTAATTAATTCCTAAATAGGAGCCCCTCGTGTGTGGTTTAATCTACAAAACATGTTGTAATTTATCAAAGCAACTTCGTTAAAAACAATGCCAGCAAACACAACACTGCTAATAAGAAGATAGAATAATCTTTTTAATGGTGCCATGACAACCAACACTTTTGTAACAAATTTATCCAATGAAAAAAGCATTCCTTACGAAATTATACTTTGCACTTCTTACAACATTATTTGAAGAGGTGTCTTTCTGGCACTTCACCCAACTACAGACTCATACAAGCTTTCTACTTTTCTCTACACGCTTCACAAACAATAAATAAATTTATTCCAATAAGCCAAAAACATGAACACGGTCGCCTAAGAAACAACAACGTCCACTCATCTTGAGAAGCGCAACCACCAAAAAAAATTGGTTCCAACTAATTCAAATGAATTGTACTCAAGTGCGAGAAAGCATGAATCTTGAAATCATTTGAAATCACCGGAAGTAATATAAAAAGAAAAGAGCCAGATGTAGCTGAAATAAATGAATTTAAGGAGAGGGATACCGACAGCTCACCCGAAAATGGCTCTAGAAGCGAAGGGCTTGGAGGCAGCGATGTACGCGGCGGCCGCCGAGGCGGCGGCACTAGCTGTGAGGAGAGCATGTGAATGGAGCAATAGGGCGGAGGAGGAGGAAGAGGAGGAGGAGCCCTGTGCGCTCTTCAGTAGATTGAGAATAAGAGATATTCCCGCCATCCACGTCTGCCCTAGAAAAACTTCAAAGGTTACGAAACCTGCTGCAAACAGAAGCGAGAGAGAAGCGAGCTACTTCGATGATGTCTTCCCGATGATCACCTCGTAAGGATATGCGGGCACTGCGACTTATGGAGATTGCAGTGACTTTTTTATTCGATACTATTAATTTTCTAATTATTTATTTAGATGTTATTTTTAATAGGTGTTACTAAATACATTGGTAATTATTTCATTATTATTTTTAATAATTAATTATTTAATTATTATTTATACAATTAATTATTTAAATGATATTTTAATAAGTTCTTAATTACTAAACATACTATTAATTATTGAACCATTATATTACTTACTTATTATTTAATTATTTTAAAATATTAATTATCAATTAATTTGTTGGGTATTATTTTAATACAATTTTAATTACTATTATAGTAGTAATTATTAAATATACCATTAATTTAATAAATTTCGGTAATTTAATAAATTTAGGCTTGTCCCTTCACAGTATGTGTGTCTATGGTTTGTTTTTCCTCCACAGTTTATTCGTTGTTTGTTGTAAAATTTCGTACTCATCAAATCGACGAACGGTGGAGTCGTGTAAGGATAAATTGGACAAAGCAGACGAAGGGTACGAAGGGGTTTGTTCTATCATTGTGTTGAGTTGTGACAAGCAACTCTCAAAATCTAATTTTATAATATTTTAGATTCTCTTTCAATATTCATTTTAAAAAAGCTACATACTACAAAGACAGTAAAACATTCAAATACTGAAAATAAATGCATCCACAATATTTTTTTTCATTTCATCAAAATGTATCGACATTACAGTTCTTTATTACAAGCACAAGCTACATAACTGAATAATAAACTAGATATGATCATATAAAAATCAAAATAGATAAATACTTATAATCTCAAATAATATCCTAAACTGCTAATCAACAGACTCTTTTCTCATCTTATATCCTGAAAATGAGAAGCAAAATCACTGTGAGCTAAAACAACTCACAATAGGAACATAATCTGGCCACACAATCCAATCTAAATTTCTAAATTCTTTTATTAAATATTTTACTGAAAATTAAAAAAGTAGTTAAATACAGTATAATAAATCACTGCATATAGAAATATAATAGGAACATAACAATTATTTGATTATAAAAAAATAATACTAAGCAAATTAATAAGTTACAATTCACGTCATAGATCAGTTTATATCACATTCCATATAACCAGATAAAATCTCAAAGAAATCTGGCCCATATGACTCCTTTTTTGTGCTTATAGCATCAAAACATATCACATGTTCATGTGTGGGGCATAATCTCAAAAGATTTTGGCCCTTTATAGCTCCAAACAATTTCCTAACATAAACATAATCTCAGAGGATTCTAACCTCTTACAATTCTCAACATGTATAATTTAATCACATATGCATATATATATCATCACATTATAGTGGTTAAAGAGCAATTGAGTGCGTGTTAGAATTGCATAGTGTTGTATAACGGTAAACAACATAAAATCTTACTATGCCAAAAAACAAATTTTCAAAAAATTACTAAATTATCACAGATTGCATAATTAACACTATTTTTCACAGTATATATAATTTTATATTCAATAAAAATTCCACAAATTTTAAAACCCCTGTTGTAAAATTTTCAGAAAATATTTAAAATATGCATAATCTTAATCTCTATTACATATAAAAGTTGCAAGATAAAAAAAATTTCAGTATAAAATTATTCTCATTTTTTGCTAGCAAAAATAGTAATTTGATCATAAATTAGATTAAAGCTTTGTATTTTTAAAATTTGAGATAGGTATAATGTGATCCACCTCTATCCAGACAACATTTTGAATTGTGCCGACGGGTGAAAACAACATGAAAATACTAAGAAATCCTCTTTTTTCCTCCCCAAATTCTCTTCTTACTATTTTTTCTAATCGAGTAAGAGGTCCTCAACATTTCAAAATTCATATCTTAAATCATAAAAATAAATTAGAATATAATTATCGCATCTCAAACTTTTTCCAAGCAGCTTCTCTTTCTGCCTTGTTCTTTCACTGAACTTTAAGCATAAGAATTTTTTACTCAACTTTTTTATAATGTATTTTCAAAATTAGATATCCATTTTCTCAGAAGTGATACGTAAAACACATTATGAATTTTTGACATCTAAAATGACAACTATAACATTTAGGTAGCTTTCTCAATCCTTTCAACAACTTCAAATGGTTCAGCATGCATTGGGCTCAACTTCCTTTCCTTGCCAATTATGTTAATGTCCTTCATCAGCCTGATTTTCATATATATAAATCTCCTACATGAAATTCTACAGTCTGATGCTTAGCGTCAAAATACTATCATTGCCTATCATGTATAATCTTTAATCTGTCTCTAATTAAATGAATTTGTTTAATACCATCATCAACTAAAGATAAACAATCATATGTCTATCACCCACCTCTATCAAAGTCAAAGGAGTCATACACTTCCTATCATACAGAGCTTCGTATGGAGTCATACCTATACTTGACTGAAAATTACTATTATAAGCAAACTTGATAAGAGGAATGTGATCTTCCTAACTGCCACCAAAATCCATAATACAAAGTCTTATAAAATCCTCCATTACATGTATAGTCCTTTTGGATTATTCATTTGTCTATGGATGAAAAGTCATACTAAAATGCAATTTAGTTCCCAAACTTTGTTGAATGCCTGTCCACCGTCTGGAGGTAAAATGGTCATCACTATCAGAGACTATAATCTTTAGTATTCATGCAATTAGATGATCTCACGCACATTTGCCTATTATATATTGCACATTGATGCATAAAATGAGTTTTTGTAGTTATTTTCTCGAAGAGTGATACTTGTATAGTTGATCTGCTTAACCTACTAGAAGGTCGTTAAGAGAATATATGATTTATTCCATCTCATCATGTAACATTGAAGTCTATAATAGCTTCAAAAATTAACATTCAACATAAAATAGATTATTGTATGTGGGCAAATCCTACCATTAGTTATTATCTCTAACCTTCTTCAATACTTTGAATGAGTTATACCAAATGGTTTTATATTTTTATCCCTGACTTTTGATCTTTTTTGGATAATATGAAGTCATATAATATCTTCTTCGAACTTCTTTTGTTCTTGACGTCTTTCATGGCGACCTTATAAAGTTGTTAAGCCTTCTTGAGCTAGATCTTTATCTTAGAGTGATTCTTGTGAATATTCTCTATAAATTTATATGCTCTCTTGATGCCTTTATTTCAGCCCTCAACTATAGTAACTACTTTTCCCGTGAACTCCAAATTAAACAACATTTTAGATAAATACCATATGCAAACCTTGAATAGAGATAGACTTATAATTTTTTTGGATTGTACCACACAAACAAATTTGAAATATTATAACCTCTCTTCCTAGGTCATTAGATATCGTGCATTGAATCCTTGTAATAGTTGCACCATAATCTGATTCACCAACTCTATTTGGGTGTTAGTACGTGGATGGAAGTAGATGCCTCTCTTTAGTGTTTAACCATCATTATCTAAAGTGATTTCTATAATGATTTTATATCTAATATAATCAAGTTCAATAAGCTAAAATGCTCCCAAACATTATTGAATAAGAGATGTGCCACATCTTCTCATATGATGATATACTTGCACACCATGAGGAATATTGTATTTGAAAACCTATCCAATGTAACAAAAAATATAACTATGATCAATGCTAGTCATCCCAAAAAGTCTATGGAGAATCCATAGTCATTTTAGCTTACAAGGAGTGCATAATATATAAAATGGATTATTATTATTTATTTTAGATTTTAGATATCTAGATATTTAGATGTGCTTCAATTTCATTGGTATCTACATGTCATTAGAGTAAAATGCTATATTGTTGAACCTATAGCCCAAAAAATATTAATATGTTGGCACTAATAGGGTCAAAACTAAGCAACCTCATGAGACTATGCATTGCACCAAGTGGTTATTTCATTACAAGTATTTATAATTAAATTGTAAGAACCAGCTGGTCCAGTTCAGTCAGATCGAACCTTGCACTAAAACAAGCAGGTGAATTATATCCTCATGAAAGGAAAGAGTCTCTCGCTACATTTATTTTGGATGGAGAAGTAGAAAGGTGGTAAAGAGGCCAACACAAAGACATACTAGAATATACTATAAATTTATTGATTAAGTTGGAAGACTTTATGGAACTTTTCAAAGAATGGTTTGTACATATGTCAAAAAGGAGGAAGATGCAAGACAATTTTGTAAGACTAGTTTAAAAAGAAAAAACAATGATGCTGTCACGACCCAACCCGATCGGGACGGATCCCGCTCGCATCGGGTCGTGGGGCCTG